CATTCAATTGAGATTTGTTTACAGAAGCAAAAAGAAAAAATTAATTTAAATTTCTTCTTTATTTTTGTGAAAGAAATCAATTTTGTTTATTTTAGGAATTTGTTGATTATCAAGATATTCCTATATCACTTGAAAGGGGAATCACTTTATGGAAAGAAGAGTTACCAATTTTTTAATGGTGAAAGGAAATGCTTGATGCAGTGAAAAGCCCAGAAAGAAAATATTGTTCAGCATATTTCTTGCAATAATTTCTCTCAGATAAGATTTTTTGGGAGGGAAATAAGCAGATACATATTCACCATTTGTTTGTTCCTCCTTTTGTTTTATTGTATTTTGTAACTAGTCTATTGTGTTGATGGACAAAGTTATCAATGTACGCCATTGGTCTCAAGTTTGTTTTTGTTCTTACCACTCATCATCTGCTCAGGTCAAGTTAAGCTGATTTATTTGTGGGATCAAAATGAAAATTTTTTTGTTCTTCTTTCTTTTTTTATTTGCCTAATACTCCTCTTAAGTTTCACCTTCTCTCATAATTTCACCTGCTTTCTTTGCGGCTGGCAATAAAACACCTGGGGTTGACAAGAAAGAATTTGTAACCAAAGTAAGAGTCTTACATATCTTGTCTTCTTTGCCATCTGCAAGTGAATAAAATATGAAGGAAGGTAAATGAAAGGGGCATTGAAAGACAATAGATATGGATGAAAACTAGAGCTCAAATCCAGTTCTATTTATGAAATGTGAATTGAATAAAAGCCAAATATTGTTTCATTTCAATGTCTCATACCCAGGGTTCACCCTTCATGAGTTTAACAAGCCCTAATACACTTACTTTGGTGCTTAAACAGAAACATAAATTTTCTTTGGAGACTCATCTTTGTCATAAACATGCCAATAATTTTATTTCACTATTTTCTGATTCTGTTTGAATTTTTTTTTGTTTTGTTTTCAGTAACAAACATAAAAATTAATAACAAACATCAGATGATCCAGTGGCAATCACAATTACAAAATATAGAAAGAATAAGAATTGGATTTATAAAAACATTTTTTTGATATTTTAATCTTATTCAATACTCAGGAATAACAAGCATGTCTACATATATTGAGCAACCTATATTAGAACACATTTAAAGATGAAATTTAAGCTTAAATCAATTTGAACAACTGATACATCCACCACAATGTACCTATTCCAGTAAATAAAAGCTACCATTGCAAGATGTTTCAAAAACATTTTAAAACACATAGCTAAGATGAAAAAAATATATACAATCTGTTATTGGAGTGCCATATTTAATGGTATATAAGAGCTTCTTTTTTTCACTAAAATGGTTCATAAATACCTCCTGGATATTATATGTGAAGTTATCTGATGAGCTAATATTTATCCAGATGTTATATTATCAATACTTGTACTGATCCTAACACTATAATACTAAATGTAAATGAGGAGGAACCAGATCTTATATGTCATCAAATATTCATTGATTCCTCAACAACTAGTGTGATAAACATGATATAATAACCATGATATATGCCATTAATATCATTGATTTTTACGATCTTTTGGAATGTTTTAATTCAAAAGAGCTTAAAATGCTGTCATGATAACAACAAAGTCTATGTTTGCACAAAAGTCCATTTATTAACAGTCCAGCCAAATCATATGCCCTTTAATACTGACTCAGAGTGACAAGAATTGAGCCAGATATGTTACAATTTAAACAAAGAAAATTCTTGAAAAATCCTAAGAAAAAACCATCAAAATAACATAAAAATACATAATTTGCTTCCACCAAACATTAATACACTTTTTGTATATAAATTGTTTTCTACTTCACAGTATCAAAGATGTTAATGTACAAATAAATGTCATAAAAAGCACTGAGTAAAAGAGGAAAGTAGATAATTTCTTGTAATTTTCAATTTGTAAATAACTTTATGACAGAAATATTTTCTTTGGCAATATGTGAATGACATGTCTAATATTTGACACCCTTTCCAATACTAGAAACATCTGATTCCATTTGAATAGCAGTTTTCCAGCTGTGGATTTTAAGGTGATTTTCTAACACAATGTTCAATGTGTCCTGTTTTGTTTCTACAATTTTAAAGAACAGACTAGTGCATGGTAAAATCCACCATTGCTTCTTGCTCTTCTGAGTATAGATGTTTATGGATCACACAAGAGGTAAAAGAGCAAATATGAAATATGGTTGTTACAATTGGTGACATGCAAAAACAACATTTTCTATTTTTATTGCTTTCTAAACAAAAGAGAAAAAATATTTCTTAAGAAAATTGAAAAAGAACATTTCTGAAGAATTTTTCATCTTTTCTAATATAGAATTTTTCATCTTTTCTATGATATATGTCATAAAGCTTAAAGAATTAGATTTGTCTTAAAACATGTGTAGCAACATGAAAAGTATAATGACAAAGTTCAACTGTCCAAAGAAAATTTGGAATGTTGATGACAATTTTCGAATTTATAAACAATGTGATTTTACACAGCTTCTCTTTATAGAAGAAATTGATACTTAAATCAATTTGAACACCTGCTACTACACATTAACAAAGTACCTATTTCAATATATATATATATATATATATATATATATATATATATATATATTCAGCCAGACCAAGATGGATTCAGATGACTACTACTACAAAAAAAAGTTAAAAGATTTAACATAGGAGGAAAAAATTCATTCCTTTAAATAATATGCAGAAATAACCATTCTTAACCTGATGAAGGTCACAAGACTCAAAACACATGTAGCAAAATATATAGAAAAAGTATATACAAACATTATAATCAAAAACGTTTGTAGCTTTTTCTCTCTTTAAAATATACACTTTCTTTCATTGGAACAACAATAATCTCTTTTTTATATATATATATATATATATATATATATATATATATATATATATATATATAATTCCTTTGCACAGGCCTTTCAAACTTACCAAAGATTCTGATTACAATTCTGATTTTCAAGTGGATTCAAATAACTAAACAGCCAAGAAAAATTAAAATGACTTGAATTAAATTCAATAGATTTATTTGAGGAAAGAATAGAAAATCAGGCATTGTCTTTTATTGTATAAATAACAAAACGTTGGAGTTATAAGAGTTGATACAGTAAATGTTTGTATGACAGGCCTAAAATTGCTGATAGAGTGACACAAGTATATCTTATCTTAAAAGAATTGTTTCAATTACTAATAGACAAACATTGATATTTAAATGTTTGCTATATTTGGAACTGTCTTTACACTTTAAGTTTGACAATGCAAGAAGCAGATAAAAAAATGAAAATTTGAGTTTATTATTTGAATTAAAGTAACATCTATAATTGAAGTAGAGTGTGGGGTAAAATAGCTGCTAGTGGTAATATACCTAAAACTGTTGTGGTATAGATATTACCTTTTGATTTACTAGTAGTGAAGGAGAGTAAAAACGTCTAACTTGGTTTGTTATTCTATTTAAATATTTCCAATCTATTCTTAGTGCATATTTCTTAGATGAGAGAGATGTAGAGACAGACAGTGAAGTCACATAAATATATGTTTATATATAAATGATGACATGAATACATTTCTTTGTACTTAAAGTCATTTTCATTTTTACTAAATGATAGTTTTTTTAATTTCTGTAAACAAAATCTATATCAATGATTCTTTGAAAAAATTTCATCTGCTGCTTCTTTTGTGAAGAAGACAGAAAAATAAAATCTTCAACAAATAAAAGATCTTTCTAATCAGAAGTTTATTTTCCATTCACCACTTATCGTAAGGAGATTTGTAACATTCTGATCCATTTTGGTTAGAGCTCAGAATTTGCTGAGAGACTTTTTCATGACAAAAATAACACAAAATTCTTTTATCTTCCATAATGGTTGTTTTATTAGCAATATTCTCACTACTACTCTTTCTTGTAGCTTATAAAACTAGCTTTTATCAAAATAACATCAAATACACATATTAAGTGATAAATATTTGAAATGTAGACAGGGCTGGTTAAAAAGAAAAAAAACTTCAAGCTTTAAGAAAATGGACTCTAAAAGTTGACAAAATGTATTTGACAACCCCCAAAAAGCACTCTAAGAAATTGAAATATTGTAACAACTTCCCAGAAAAATTATTTTTAAAGCAGACAAGTAAACATTCTTTGTTGATTGGTTTTGTTTTAAATATAATTCTCATCTTTCCTGTCTGTTCTTGACTATAGCCTTTATGTTTTTAACATATATCTGCTTTGTTTCTGTTTCAATACTGTCACTGAAAGGTTTGTCCAAGAAACACATGACAGATAACAATAGTTTATTAAAAGAAATTGTTCTTTTACACTCAAAAGATCAGTGAAACTATGAGAGTGTTTTTAGAGGTCACTAATTAATACTCCTTATCAGTTGAATGTCGTTTGAACAGGTAGCTTGTTGCTACATTTACTGGTATATGGCAAGTATTTAGCAGCCATAAAGACATGTCACTTAACATTCTATAGCTTCCATTTTCACCAATGACACTATTATTAACAAAAATGAAGACCATGTAATCCTAGTTATTTAATAATTTATAAGTGTCTCCAGGTACTGAACAAAAATGTTGGGTTATCAATAAATCCAGAATTATTCATAGCTTTTCAGCCATCTTTTATTTTACCAATCAGGAATTTTTTTCATTGGTTTTCTTTTTACTTCCAAAATAATGGAGGGGTAAAAGCTGATTTAATTTTTCACACAATTTGTGTCATGTTCTGGACTTTATAGCAACACAGAGGAAGTTTTTTAATCTTCAGTTAGTCTGAGATTAATAATAAAACTGTTTAAACATTGATATATACTTACGAAAAAATACTAGCAACAAATTAAAGAGAAAGGAAGAAACTTCAGTGAGAATTAAGTGTTTTTTTCCATGTTTGTTTTTGTTATGCAAATGAAGTTTTCAATTCATTTATAGAACTCTTTGTTTTGATTTTCTAATTACAGAAGACAGAAAGTTGTTTGTGGGAATGCTCAACAAACAGCAAACAGAAGATGATATTCGACAGTTATTCCAGCCTTATGGAACGATTGAAGAATGCACCATTCTACGTGATCAAAATGGAAACAGCAAGGGTGAGGCACTGTTCTTTCCTCTGACAACCAGTTTTAAATACAATTCATTCATTTTTGATAGCCATATTTGTATATAAATAGCAAGCATTCAGATAAACTTTCTTTATTGAAGAATGTTCATAAAATGTTTTTTCAATTATTCCGAAGAATAATGATGACCTTTATCAATTATTATGGGTTCAGTTTTTCTTATAAACATTTAAATGAATCTAAGATTTTGATTTTCAATGGATTATGAGATAAAATTCAGGTTTTGTCTAAAGATTGTTTCAAAATACACTTTTTAGTTGTTACTTTAAGAAAAGCCTAACAAAATCATTTACTTCAATTGTTAAAAGTTAAATATATATGTTTATTTTGATTATTTTTTTAATTATCTTTTTTTATTTCTCTCTTCATTTTTGCATTTTTTAAACCTGACCAACAAAATATTAATTAAAAATTCCAAGCAGTTCTAGTCTTTAGAAAATTTCTTAAACATCTGCCTTGTGGGATTGTAAATCCACCATTGACTACCTAAATTTATGATATTGATTCTTATCATATCTGTCACCCCACCATCAATGAGGAACAATGGCACCCACCATTATTCCTCCCTTCTTTGTTTCTTGTGGAAAAATATAGGTTAATCTTTCGTTTCAAACTCTTCAGAATGAGATGAATAAGAAAGTTTTTTTTTCTTTTTGTTTTGAGTGAAAAATAAATGCAACCCCAGTGATGTACCCAACAGAAACTTGTATTTCAATCTTGACCACTTTCTTCCAGCTGCAAAATTTACTGCTCATTTGTAACAAACTAAAAAAATTTTTTATTAAACATACAACTTTTCTTCTTTGTGAAAACGGTCATTTTCTCTTCAACCTGAATTTACCAGCAATTTAACAACTTTGAAATTCTTTGGCAAATGCAAAAACAAAATAAAAAACACATTAAAAAATTTAGCCCTGTTTAATTTCCTTATTTAAACTAAAATCTTTGAAATTAATTTCCCTAAAGAAAATTGTGTTTAAATGTGGTACTTAGAGTTCCACAAAATTGAAATTAAATCACTGACAATATATTGACCTCACTTTAAAAATCAGAACCTTACTGAAAAGTACTTAAGAAAATCTTTGTATACAAGTTCCTGGCTATTCTTTTTATGTACATGAACACATTTTAAGACTCATGTGGACAAGCCAAGATGGAAAAAATTTTTTCATCAGGACAATAAACAGTCATACCTGGTGTTAATCTCTATAATGTTACTTAGTAAAATTGTATGGTTGCATTTGATTGATTTTAGTCACTCAATAGAAAGGAGGAAGTTAACAATAAATTCCAAATTTTCTAAAAGTTTGTAAAATGGCTAAATAGAAACACTTTCAAAAAATACTTTTCTATAGACAATTATTCATCAGAAACAAAACCCATTCTCTTAACTTGCATTTTTGCTTTCCTTTTTAGATATTTTTTTTATCTATTTTTTGTGATTTTTTACTCATTTTCCAGGTTGTGCATTTGTCAAGTTCTCAACCCATGCTGAGGCACAATCTGCTATAAATGCTCTTCATGGAAGCCAGACGATGCCTGTAAGTACAAGAACATACATTAAAAGTTTTTAACTGCCATCTTCATTTTGGTTTTATTCATGTTTTTTTGTTTGAATCCATTTTTAACTGTTTTTCAATCTTTATCTATACACAATTACATTTAATTTAATTTTTTAAAAATTTGCCAAAAATATGATTTTATATTTTGAAATGACTTTACCTGCATTGCCATCTTCTTTATAATTATTTAATTTCCTCTGTAAAATTTTTGTTGGAAGAACTGTGGGTGCAAGTGAATGTTATTTCTACATCAACCTGGATAAGTTCTAAAAAATTGAAAATAATCTTTAAAAATATTTTTCACAATGAAAAAAATATCTTGAATAAATGACATATTTTAAAACATTTAGAAAAATAGGAACAAAATTATAAATCATTTCTAATAAACAAATTTTCAAATAAAAATATATTTTTAATCATTAGAACGAATTAGCAAATCATACATAGCTATATATTAATATTTATGAGAATGTTTATTGGCATGTATGTGTGCATGTGTTATACATTGTTATAATCTAAATTATATAAAAAGCACTTAAAACAAATAAGAAGATTAGATGAGGGATTTTCAATCAAACTTTAGTCATTGAATCTAAAGTACATTTTTAAATAAGGCCATAAGAAAAAGTTTAAAAAGTGAATTTTTCCATTAATTTTTACTAAGTACATTTTATCAAGGAACAATAGAGAAAGAATTAAATAACCCCAGCGTTTTTGAGGAGATCTGTTTTGGAAAAGATTAGAAAAACCTTTTCCCTTAAACATTTTAGAAAATTAACTTTTAGAATAGAAATTATTTCACCTACTCAAACTGAATGATGGTTGGTTCACACAGTGAAAGAAATAATGACTGCCAGTTTTTCAACTCCTTTCAGCAACAATTAAAATTTTGCTGCTTATTCAACCTTTAAAATACTTGTTTAATTAGAAATTTTCAGTCAATATTCAAAAGAGAACACCATATCATTTATTTTCAGATGCCATTTATTTTCAACTATGCCAATTTAGTTCCACTGATTTCAACTTTTTTCCTTTTTTTATACTAAATGTTTATGTTCTTCTCCAAATTAGATTCATGTTTAATGTCAGTAAATATTTTCACTGACTTGAGAATTTTTTTTCTTTAAGAGGTACAATAATTGGCCCATTCTCTAAAGACCAAGATTTTCATATTTTTCTTTGGTTTTTCCCAGATGGAAAATGCAAACATTCAGAATATTTTTAAGTCAGTTTTTACATTATACAATGAACATGTTTACTGAACGATAACAAATAAAACAATTCAAAAGACTTGATGCTACTTGTTAATCAACTGATTGAACAATGTAACAAGATATTTATGACACATTGGAGTCTTTGAATAGTCTCTTTAAGAATTTTTTTTTTGCCAATGGTGGAAACATTTATTCCATGATCAATATATTTTGTTGGGTGCAAAAAAAACAATTACAATGGCTAATCCAGTTGTCTATTTGAATATATGAAGTGAATAAGTTAAATTGCTTTTCAAATAAAAATATTTTGTTGTTTTTTTATCATAATCATTCATTAACAACGTTTGTTAATATTTTAGAGTCACAAATATTGATCATGCATTTCACAAACAAATCCTGATAAGCCATTTTTAGATAATACTTTGATGGTTATTGTTTTTTAAGTGAAATTAGTAAACCTGTTTGGATAATTATTTCTCAATTCATTCTTCCAAACAATTTTTAATATTTTAGTATATTATATTAGTATGTTACTATATTAGTATTCTTTAAATACTAGAGTTTGAAATTTCAAATAGAAGAGAAATTTATTTTCTCCCATAAAAAGCAATTATTTAAACAATATAAATTTGTTTAAATGATTCAATTATTACTTGAAAAGTAACAGATTTGAAATTGCATTTTCTCCTCTGCTGCAAATGTTGTTCCTTCCTAAAAGACAGGAGGAAAGAATTTCATTTGAAACATGAAAAAGGTATTAGAAAATGTAGATATCCACTTGTTGTTAAGTTGGCCTTCCTCTGTGAATAGATGCTTAGATAAGTGAGAAGCAAATTTGAAATCAACTTCATTGAAGACTGTTGCAAAATGATCTCCTTATTGATTTGAAGTAAAGGCCAAGTTTGGCATTCCTCTACTTAAAGATATACAATTTACACAGAAAAATGAACACATTGAATACTTCCATTCTCTCAGTGTTTCCTTTTCATTATGTGCAAATCTATCTGCTTAGCTTGCCCATAAAATACTTAAAGGAAGTTAGTTGGCATCAGGTTTTCTTAGTAACAATCAAATGCATGATGTTTATGCAGAAACCTTGTCACAGAAATCAAAAATATGTATCTTGCCAAAAGTTACAATAAAAGGTGGACAAAGGCTATCTATCTTGTAAGCAATAAGTTTTTACTTTTACTAATAATGAGTACAGACTACCAGGTCATTTTGTTTCAGTCATTCATATTCTTTAAATGCCATGTTGTTTCAGATTTCTATTTATTTAATATCTGTGAATTACCATGACTTTGCTTAATGTAGGGGTTTCCCAATGCCTTCTCCGCAGTTTTGAATTCAGAATTGTCTTTCTAAAGCCAGTCCATCCTACTATTTTACCTATATCTGAGGAAAGAAAAATCAATACTTCCTTCCCCAAGAGCATTAATGTAAAGTGTATACAACAGCTTCAACCAGAATTTAATGCAGTTCACTGATTCTATTTAACCCCTAATAACTGTCATATCACATATTCTTATCATTCATATACAGCAATCAAAAGAACAAAAGTCATAAATCTATACAGGCTTACAAGGCCAAGTTCTTATTATTTACACCGGGCACAGAATATAAACTGTATATATTTTAATTGACAAAATTTTATAAGGGATAATTTCTTCTTGGAAATTGTAGCAATAAAATCTAAACAAGAAGAAGACTTCTTATTTCTTTATATCTCAAGAATAAATGCAAATCTCATTGATCAAGTTTTAACATTCTCTTTTATCCAATTCACTTGGACTATGAGGGGCTGCTGAAAAGTTCTTGGCCCAATCCACTTCTTAAAATCCGATCAAGCATCAAGTTTTTTTTGGGTTTTTTTTTGTTTTTTTTTATTAATCTCTCTTCTTGGTCACATTAAGAACTTTTCAGCATCTCTTTATAGAATTAAATCTCTAAATTTTGACACACTCATTTGATTTCTTTAATATTTCTACACATTCTACCAAGGTAAAGCATGAAATTTTGCAAGAACACTTTATTGAACACCATTAATAGTTGGTTTATGAAGATGGATAGAATATTTATTCAATGTTAAAATATGTGTTATTATTGATCACAAAATATGCATTTGTTATTTGTTGATAGTTGAAAAATGTGTATCTCCTTTGTGTGCATATGTGTTTGTGTGTGTGTTAAAGAATATTTATCATGAGTTATTTTAATGAACAATACATGTAAAACTTTCAGAAAACTGGAAAAATCTATTAAAATATGATTTCTATGATAACCAAAAAGCTTGACAAGAATCAATGAATTTGAAGCTTTTTCATATTTAAACATCACATGAGTATGACAATGAGTAAGTTATAGAATGTTTATACCTAGCCACACTAAGTGACACTATAAGTATCTGTATGCTTGGTTAGAGCATCCTATGGCTAACATCTCTCCCACCATGTGAAACTATAAAGTTTACAATATATAGTGGAGAAATTAGAGATGTACAAAATGCATCATTAGAGTAAAAGGTTAAAAAGAAACTATTTTATTTATCTCTGTCCAAATCTCCAGTTGGATTTCTGTTTTCTTTCCTCTTTGGCCAAAACTAAAACTTTGTAAAATCAAACCAATATTTTTTTTACCTAATTTTATGAAGATAATAGCAAAAATACTTGTCTGTATGGTTAGATTCTCAAATTAACTCACTCACAAATTTACAATATTTCATAAGTTTAATTATCTTAATGAAGATTTTTCTCTTTTCAAATCCTAAAATAAAAAACAAATTACTTTTTTACTTTCATTGCTCATAAAAATCCATTACAATTATGTATCAATTTTAAAAATCAATATTAGTTATTTTGCTTATATTCATTCATTGCACCACAATATATTAAAGAATAATAATTCTACCTTAAATTTAGAAGCAAAATACTATAGTTGTATTAATTTGCTGATTGTGATTATAAAATGAAAATATGAAGAGTGGGTAAAATGTTCAATCAGCGACAAGTTGCCATCGGTACTTTCTAAAATCATAAGGAATATTTAAATCTATCATTAAAATTTCAAACTTGAATTATTTGCCTATTTTATTCATTGGTACTGTTCATGAAATTCAGATTTCAGCTCAGAAAGTGAAATAAGCAAGCCAAGTTCAAATTCCAGGCTAGTCTATTGCATTCATTTTCACACAAATACTCTTTGGAAAGGCAGGAATTTTATCTCTTAACCCCCACCCTATAACAACCAGTCTATGAAAGGGAAACTCTCAATTTCAAACCATCAGGACACCAGTGGGAAATCACTTTCCCAAGAAGTATGACAATTCACAGATAATAAAGAAATCAAATCTGTGGAAAGTCATGATCAGTTATATCATGAAGGAACATGACATTAAATTAAAAAAAAATCTTTTTTCATTTTTTAAATTTCAATAACCCAAAGGTATGGGGGAGAATTGTGGTTATTTCAAAATGGTTCAGTAAATTTCCTTAGCCATATGCCAAGTATTTTCCTTTCCTTGAAAATCATCCATTACACTTTCTGGTGAAATAGACAGCAATACACCAAATATGGATATTGCAAGGTTACACTGGATCATTACTAGCTTTGTTATTTTGATATTGACCTGAAATAGTTTTCATGAACTTTGCTTGTATACATGACAATGTAGCTCAACAATATTTCTATTTGATTTACCAAAGTTTGAGAGTTCTTTAAAACCTTCTTCATTTATCATTCTATGCTGACACAAAACTTTAAAGACAA